CCGTGGGAGTCCTGGGGCCCCGATGCCCAGCCAGCCAGTCCTGGCTGCCCTCCCCTGCCCCTGTCACAGCCCTGGACTTAGCCCCATAGCAAACGGTCCCTCCCACGGCCCTGGCCTGGCCTGGCCCTGTCAGTGCTGCCCCTGCAGGTGGCGAGGGGCAGAGCCTGCAGCAGCAACAGCAGCTGGGGCTCTGGGTCATCGCTGGCTTCCTGACCTTCCTGGCCTTGGAGAAGATGTTCCTGGACAGCAAGGAGAAGGAGGGGACCAGCCAGGTGAGCCCCCAACCCCGGGGCAGGGCCTGGAGGGTTCTGAGGTGAGCCCGAAGACAGGGTCTCAGGCCTTTCTCCTGGGAGCTGTGGGAGGCCGGGCCAGCTTTTCTGGGAGGATCTGGGGACTGGTGACGCATCGCTGTCATGACAGACGGCAGTGACAGCAGCGGGGCAGTGTGGGTTACGTTTGGGGGGCACCCGGCTGACGGAGCAGCGGATGAGTGTAGCCAGAGAGGGGCTCCCTGTCTCTCTTCATCTCTCCCCTCCCTGTGTCTACCCTGGCTCAGTGGGGGGCATCTAATGTCACCTCTCCCTCCTTCTCCCGGCCCTAGGCCCCCAGCAAAGACCCCACTACTGCTGCTGCTACTGCCGCTCTCAGCGGAGGCCACTGTCTGGCCCAGCCGGCTGCAGAGCCCGGCCTGAGAGCCGTGGTCCGGAGCGTCAAAGTGAGTGGCCCACTCAGGGCCCTTTCCTGCCGCAGTGATGCGAGCTGGGGTGGGGGTGGGGGCTCAGCCCAGCTTTCTCCCCCCTCCCCCCAGGTCAGCGGCTATCTCAACCTGCTGGCCAACACCATAGACAACTTCACCCACGGGCTGGCTGTGGCCGCCAGCTTCCTCGTGAGCAAGAAGGTGAGCGAGGGCCCGGGCAGGGAGCGGCCAGGCAGTTCCACAGCGGCCCCCGAGAGGGCCCCCAGCCCACCTGCTCCCCTCCGCTCTCTGCTCCGCCCCAGGGTCTCCCCGCACCTTTTGTTTCCAGCACTTCTTGCTGCCCAGCTGCGGGGCTTGGCCCCTGCCTGCTTCCCGATGCTTCTCCCTCGGTCCCCTCCCTCTGGCCCCGGGGCCCTGGTCCTAGCCATCTGCCTGTTCTTGACCAGCCGAGCTCTTTGCCACCTCACACTGTCCCTGCTGTCTGGAATGTGCTTCCTCGCACTCTGGACAGACGACAACTCAGGCTTCGGGCTTGGCTTAACTCCCCCAAGGAGGCCTTGCTGACCCCCCCCCCAATGAGGTCCCAGTCCTCCCCCGAGGCACCCAGCAGGGAGGAGCACAGTTCCCCAAGTGGTTTGCATGGGACGTGTCTCCCTCCAGGCCCGGAGCTTTGCGAGTGCAGGGCCTGTGCCTGTAGTCGCTGTATTCCCCGTAGCCAGGTGCTTGGCCACAGCGGGTCTTTAGGGAACGTGTGGGCCCGCTTGTGCCCAGGCCACAGACTGAAGCCCCCCTCCCTGCAGATCGGGCTCCTGACCACCATGGCCATCCTCCTGCACGAGATTCCCCATGAGGTGCGTGCCCTGAGGGCGAGGGCGGCCGCGGAGGACCCTGGGCTGCCCAGGAGGGCCAGGGCAGGGCAGGGCAGGGGGCGGGGTAGGGGTGAGCGTCTGGCCAGCTGGGGCCCGGGGTGAGCATCCGCACCTCCTCTCAGGTGGGCGACTTCGCCATCCTGCTCCGGGCCGGCTTTGACCGATGGAGCGCGGCCAAGCTGCAGCTCTCCACGGCGCTGGGGGGCCTGCTGGGCGCCTGCTTCGCCATCTGTACGCAGTCCCCTAAGGGAGTAGGTACGGGCACGGTGGGTGGTCAGCAGAGAGATGCCAGCCAAAGGGCATGGCCGCCCTGCTGCTGGCGTCAGGCCGGGGTCTGCCGTGGGCTCTCCCGCGGGAGGGGGTGGGGCACCTTCCATCCCCTGGGCTCACAGGCGCCCCGGGCGTCCTCCCGCCACAGAGGAGACGGTGGCCTGGATCCTGCCCTTCACCTCCGGGGGCTTCCTCTACATCGCGCTGGTGAACGTGCTGCCCGACCTCCTGGAGGAAGACGACCCGTGGTGAGTGCCCGCCAGGCCGGGGAGGAGCGTCCGGCCGCGACCCGCTGCCCGCCAGCGGCGCCTCCCTGACCGGCCCGTCTGCCCACAGGCACTCCCTGCAGCAAGTGCTCCTGCTCTGCACGGGCATCGTGGTGATGGTGCTGTTCTCGCTCTTCGTGGAGTAGCCCTCCCCGCGCCCCGCCCCACCCCGCCCAGCAATAAGAGACTTGGGTTCACTTTGACAGTGTGTGTGAGCACAGAGAGCCAGCCAGCCTCCGACCGGAGCAGCGGGAGGCGTGCGTGTGGCATCCGTGTGTGCCGGAGGGGTGTGTGTGTGTGTGAGAGAGAGACCGACACTGTGACCCCTGTGCCCTGCGCCCAGGGCAGTGCCTGCCTCCAGCCCCCCTCCCCGCCCCGGGGTCTTCTCTCGTGACCCTGTCAGCCGGTGACCGGTGAGGAACAGCATTGGGTGCAAGCAGAGGCCTCACCCCGCCAGGACCCCAAAAGGAGTGAGAACAGCCGAGCTGCTCAGGGTGCAGGGGACCCACGGCTGCCCCGCCTCCTGCTGGGACCTCAGGCCCCTAGGCCTGGGCAGCTCCTCTCTGCTGTGTCTGTTCCTGGCTCCCCCCACCCCAACCTCTACAGCCAAAGAAAGGAGGGGCAGGGGCTGCTGGCGCCCCGCTGGGCCCAGTCCCGCCGTGCTGAGTGGGCTGCCCGCCCTGGCCGGCTCCTGTTCCCCAGTGAGCGCTCCCTGGCAGTGCCAGCAGCTCCTGCCACCTCCAGCCGCCAAGCAGCAGCCTGTAGGGCAGCGAGCAGCCCCAGGCCAGAGAGGCCTCCCAGTCCAGCTCAGGGACGCTCCTGCCAGCCCCGGGGCCCGGCAGACACTCTCGGAGCAGGAAGGGCACGACCCGTGGCCGCCCTGCCCTGCTCGGGCCCCTTGTCCTCACCCGCTGGGATTAGGGGCACGGTGGGGGTGGCGAGGGCTCCGTGCTGTCAGCGCTCAGGAATGTGCTCTGGGAGAATGCTGAAGCCATAATCCCCAGCTATTTCCCTTGGCTGACGCCCAGGTACTCAGCTGGCCCATTCCACAGCCAGGCTCTGGCCCCGCGCTGGACTGTGGGTTCTTGAAGTGAGAGGGTCTGAATGGTTCCACGGCAGTTCCGTGGTGGCTCCGTCTTTCTGTAAATACGTGTTCTACGGATGATACAAATAAATACTGTCTACGCGCTGGCTGCCTCTCTTCCCCGGTCTCACGGCTCGGCCAGGCCCCAGCTGCACAGCACCCCTCAGGCACCTCGCTGAGCCTGGCCTGTGTCCTGAGTGGCTGAGCGCTGACCAGCCTGGCACCGTGCCAGCACAGCCCCCAGCACCCTCCAGGACATGGGCTTTGTCTTCTAGACTCACCAACCCAGCCCTACCCCAATGATTTAATCAAGAAAGGCCGCTCCATCCCGAAAGTCATCTCCAACTTTGACCTCAATAAGGTTACTTTTGTTCATTTAAAAAGAAAGGAAATAATAAATCTTAAAAAAAAAAAAGGGGGCGGGGGAGCCAAACACGATTCCTCCATTGTAAGAGCAACATTAGGCACTGGGGGGCACTGCTTCCTCACTGTGCCATCAAGAGCGTCCCGGCCCCCTCGTTCCCGTCCACGCCAGCCAGGCCGGCTTTCAGCAGGCTCGGCGCTACGCATGGGGTCTGGCCTAGTGGGTGAGAAAGCCACGCCAGGTCTGTTCCTAGCTGGGAGCGCCTGGCTCTCAAGTGTTCCCCGCAAAGCATTTACAAGGGCTGGACTCTCTGCTCCCCACAGTCCTGACACACCTGGAAACTGTCTCCAACCCCTAATGAGCCCAGGCCTGACGGATCAAGCAGTGACCCCACAGTGTCCGCCAGCCCCCCCACCCCCACAGGCGCACATGGACAGGAGGCCCCAGTGTTACATACGAGGAAGCCACGATCGGTGAGGGGGACACCCACAGGTTCACCTGGTCTCAAGGCCAGGAGGAGCGACTGTCCCGTGTGGGAACCAGGGAGGCAGGGGTGGGGGCAGCCCGGCCTGGGGCAGGCACAGATCAGAAGCACCGGCTTTGCTGCCGGGCCCTGGAGGCAGAGCGTGATGCCCTGGGCTGGGAGGGAGATGCCACCACACGGAGGCGGGGTGGTCAGGAGCCTGCTGTGGTCACGTCCACCTGGGAAGGGGAAGGGAGGGGACTTCCTGGCAAGTAGCACCAATGAGTCCTGAAGGCTGCTCCCCGGAGAGGCCACTCAGTGGGCTGTGAGCCCCCTGGGGGGCAGGCTGCTTCTGGGCCCAGGGTTGGCATCCCAGCCAGACCAACCTGAGAGCGGTGTGATCCTGGCCCAGCTGTTTAAGCCTGTGTATGAGATGGGGGGGCCTGCTGGAGGTGGCTCGGACACAAATAACACTGCATAAGACTTGCACAATCAGTGGTGGGCCTTGCTAGCTCAGGGGTGAGGCGGGCATGCTGCTGTGACGGGTGCAGGCTGGGAGCGAACGCAGGACAACGTACGATGCGGCTAAGGGCCCTCGGCGGATCCTGTCCTTAGAAGTAGGGGCGCGTGGAGAAGCAGCAGGCCCAGGGGCCAGAACACAGCCAGAGGTGTCAGGGATCAAACCCCCAAAGCCTGGCTTTACAGGAGCCAAGACTGGGCCAGGGACCCAGCACGCAAAAAGGCAAGGCTGGCTTCCGTTCAGGCCATCCACCCTGCAGCTGCAGAGCCACAGCCTGAAGCTCAGAGGTGGGAGGAGAGGACTGTGGGAGGGGCCCAAGACCCCAGCAACAGCTGCAGCAACCGCAGCCTCGCCCTGACGACTGCTGCGGGCCCGGGGCCCCCGAGGTTTCCAGACTGCAGCCCTGGGCAGGGTCTCCTGCGTGAGCCCCACTCCACCCAGAGCCCAGGGAAGGCGCGGCAGACAAGTGGCAGGGACCCAAAACCACCTTTATTACAAACTGGCCGACGAGGGAGCAGGGCAGGCCGGGGCGCCACTACGCGTAGTACTGCAGGTTGGCTTTCTTCTTGGCCTGCACCTCCAGGATGCCCTCCATGTAGTCCTCGTGGGTGAGCTCCGTGGCGCCCCTGCGCAGTGCGATCATGCCCTGCAGCCAGGACACAAGGCTGTAGGGGGCCCCTGCACCCCCGGCCTGGGCCGTCCCAGCCTCTCCCCCTCTACAGTCTCCACCGCCCACCCCGCCTGACCACTCACCGCCTCCACACACACGGCCTTGCACTGGGCCCCGTTGAAGTCATCCGTGCAGCGGGCCAGCTCCTCGTAGTTGACGTCAGGACTGGGGAAAGGAGACGCCACAGGGCTCAGCTACTCCCGGGGAAGGGTTGCAAGGGGCGGACGCCCTCCCGTGCCCCATCAATACGCAGTCCTCCTGCCCTGAGGGGAGCAAGTCCCGTACCAGTCTGCCTTTCCCCTTGGCACACGGTGGGGAGTGGGGACCGAGGAGACAAGGGAGATCAGGTTATTTCTAGTGTCTTTGCAACTCTAGCTTCTAGAAGTTGCCATCTGACACTCCAGAGGCTGGCGGGGCCTGAGCCAGGGGAGGAGTGGGTGGCAGAGAGCAAAGCTGATCTCACAGTGCCCCATCACGTGCTGAGCACCATGCTCGTCACAACTAGTCCTTGCCACAGCCTCAGGTCGCTGCTGTTATCCCCAAGTCCCAAGTAAGGAAACAGGCTGAGAACTGCTAGGCCACCTGCTCAAGGTGGTGCAGATCTGAGCTCAGGAGGTCTGGCCCCGGGCGAGACTGTCCCAAGCCACGCTGGGCTGTGCTCACCGCTGCTGCGGGCGGGGGCGGGGGGTGTGTGTGGACAGCAAACAGCACCTCTGGGCCTGGCGCTCCAGGTTGGGGAAAGGAACAGGAGCTGAGCGCCCAGACTTGAGGCCCCAGCCTCCACAAGATGCTGTCGCCGGCAGCTGGGGCGGAACGGAGGCTGGGTGCGTGTACAGGGGCAGATGCCGAGGCAGGGAAGCAGTACCGAGAGGAGAGACAGAGGCGCCCTCCTGGCCCGCGCGGGCCCGGCACCTGCCGCTCAGCCCCGCTCACCTGACGTTCATCTTCCGGGAGTGGATCTGCATGATCCTGGCCCGGGCCTCCTCATTGGGCATGGGGAACTCGATCTTGCGGTCCAGGCGGCCCGAGCGCAGCAGGGCGGGGTCCAGGATGTCCACCCTGTTAGTGGCTGCGATGACCTGAGGCAGAGCAGCAGCACCTGAACTGGGCAGGTGTTCACGGACGGGCACCGCCACGGTGTTCAACAGGCAGAGGGGGCCCAGGGCGTCGCCCAGGTGCCGGCTCTCGCGCCCCAGCTCCTGCGCGGGGCTCGCCGTCCCCCGGAGGCGCCACTCACCTTCACTTGGGTGTTGGGCTGGAAGCCGTCCAGCTGGTTCAGGAGCTCCAGCATCGTCCTCTGCACCTCCCGGTCCCCCGCCTTCTCACTGTCAAAGCTGGGGCGCACAGGAGGCGGAGTCACTGGTGAGGCCCCAGCGTGGGCAGAGCCTGCCCCTTCACCATCAGAAGCCTAACCGTTCCTGTCCAGGGCAGGGAAATGGCTCCTGGACCTGGGCCCCAGCCCAGGGACTGGCACACAGAGGGGCTCAGTACTCACTGGGTGCCACATTCAGGGCCTGGAGAGACCCCTGGGAGCTGGTGCTGGGCTGAGGATAAAACAGGGAGCAGAGGGGCCGGCGCTATGGTGCAGTAGGATAAGCATCTGCCTGCGGTGCCAGTATCCCATAAGGGCGCCAGTTCAAGTCCTGGCTGCTCCACTTCCAATCCACCTCCCTGCTGATGGCCTGGGAGAGCAGAAGATGGCCCAAATGCTTGGGCCCCTGCACCCATGTGGGAGACCTGCAGGAAGCTCCTGGCTCCTGGCTCCACTGTGGCCATTTGGGGAGTGAACCAGCGGATGAAGGACCTTTCTCTCTGTCTCTCCCTTGTGTGTAACCATGTCTCTCACGTAAATAAAAAAAATCTTCCAAAAAACAACAGGGAGCAGAAGCAGCCAGTGTCTGGGTGGGAGCTGGTGAATGCGTGACTGCAAACTGAGCTGACGCCCAGCAAACAGGGAGCAGCCCACTTGCAGTGGACACAGGAGCCCAGGCAGGCACCCCAAGGACGCATCCCTGATGCCGAGAGCTGAAGGCCGAAAGCAGCGGCAGGGGAGAAGCCAGTGTGCGAACCGACAGGACACGGAGGAAGGGGCCTCGAGCCGGGGCGGCGGGGAGACAGGTGCCGGACAAGGCTGGAGGGGAGCCGGGGCAGCCACGCACCGGCATCGCGGGATACGGCCAGTCCAGCCTTGGCACCAGGGAGCAGGCTGGAGGCCCAGGAAGGCTTTGCAACAGGTCGCTTGTGTAAGGGACTACGGCGACATGTGAGTGAGGTGACCAGACTGTCCTGAAAGGAACACGCTGGCGGCTAAGAAGTGAACGGACGCGGGGAAGCCGGAGAGGAGAGACGCGGACAGGGTGAGCAAGCTGGCGCTCAGCCCGGGTGAGAGGCGAGGCCCCGCACGCCCTGCCCCCGCCGCCTCACCGCTTGGTGCCGATGGCATCCAGCTCGTCAATGAAGATGATAGATGGCGCTTTCTCCTTGGCCAGGGCAAAGGCGTCCCGGACCAGCTTGGCACCGTCTCCGATGAACATCTGCACCAGCTGGGGGCCGGCCAGCTTCAGGAAGGTGGCCTGGGGAGGGGTGGCAGGGTCAGGCCAAAGGCACGAGGGGCCCCAGAGCCCAGCTGGCAGGACTCCAGCTCCTGCCTGCCTCCTCCTCCCACTCCCAGGGGACTCACCTTGGTCTGTGCAGCACAGGCCCGGGCCAGCAGGGTCTTCCCAGTACCTGGGGGCCCGTACATCAGCACCCCCTTAGGAGGCTGGATCCCCAAGTTCTCAAACTTCTCCTTGTGGTTCATTGGCAGGACGATGGCCTCCACCAGCTACAGGGATGAAGTCCAAGGTGAGGAGAGGGACACTCGGAGAGTGCCTACTGCCCCCCCCACAGCGGCACCCCTCCTACTCCGACTCTGCGACAGAGCCCTCTCCTTCCTCCCTGTCAAGGGGACACAGAACGCTCACCACCACCAACGCTGACTACGGCCTGAGAACAGCTGTAGAAGGCACAGAGACACTGGACATGAACTAGGAACCCGAGCTCCTGTCCTGGTTTTGGCGCTAATTTTCCGTGGTCCCGGGCGAGTCCTCTGACCTGTCCGGATCTGTTTCCCACCTGTCACCCGGCACCCCCCGCCATTTCCTCCCTAGGACACTCCGACAGCCAGGGGCACGGGCCGGGGATGCTCCGGTGAGCGATGTGCGGGAACGCCGGGTCCCCTCACCTCCTGGATCTGCTTGTCCAGGCCCCCGATGTCGCTGTACTGCTCGGTGGGCCTCTCGTCCACCTCCATGGCCTTCACCCGGGAGTCGTACTCTGTGGGCAGGGTCTCCAGGATCAGGTAGGAGTCTTTGTTCACACCCTGAGGACACAGCACAAGGTCTTCAAGACCTACCTCACCGCTGGCTGGGGGGGGGGCAGGTCTCCGTGGCGTGAAAAGCTACAGAGCTGGACAACACAAGAATCAAACAGGAAGTGGCCGAGATGCAGAGCCCCAGGGACCCGGGACTGGAGCAGGGGCTCAGCTAGTCGGCGCGAGAAAGCTTGCTGGAGGGGCCCTGCCTGGGCTCCGGCACCACTCACCACCAGGTCTCCTGGCTTCAACTTTTCGGCATCCACCAACCCAATCACAGGCAGGAAGTACGTCTGCGGGAAAGATGGCAGGTGCTCTCTCGGCTGCTGTCCTCAGTACAGCCCCCCGGGGTCCTGTCCCCCACACACAGCCCCGCCCTCCTGTCGTCCCACCGCCAGGCCGGCCTCACCTGTCGTGTGGAGGTTTTGATCACGGCACACTTGCCCTTCCTCTGGGAGTCCAGGTCGATATTGGCACCGTCCTCCTCTTGGTCATTAGGATCAACATCCAGCAGCTAAAAGCAGAAGACGCTCAGCCCCTGGCCCTCCCCACGCCCATCGCGCCCACAGCTGAGACCATGCCCAACACCTGCAGGGCCGGCCAGGGGTGCCCAGAGCCCAGCACAGGTGCGGCTGATGGGCGGGAGGGCGTGGTGACCTCTTCTCTCCAGGTGCTGCTTTTCCGCACAGAACTTATCTGCCCCCAAACGTCAATAAAAAGGGGACACGGGAGGCCTCCAGGGCCTTCCCGGAACCCACATCCAGGCAGGGGGCCCCAGGTGGGAAGGCGCTAACATGCAATTTGGCCTCCAGTCTCTCCCTCACAGTCCCCCCAAGGGGCTCGCTGACCCCCTCTCTGCCCCTCCACATACACACACACCTCGATGACGTTGGAGACGAGGTACGGCAAGGTCTTGTTCACTTTGATCTTCTCGCTGTTCTCCTTGATCTTGTCCTTCATGGCTTGGAGCTCGTGGGTGACGCGCAACACTTCGCTCTTCATGATCTGGGATGAGGACGAGGAGACGCGAATCTTCACCCCCGGCTCGGCCATGGCAGGGCCCAGGGACTGGGGAGGTCCAGGCGGCCCTGGGGACCCAGGGGCCAGGCCTGCCTCTGTCCACACCCAGCCCAAGTAGACACTAGGGGCCAGTTTTGGAGACCCCGTGAAGTTCTGCAACCCTGGGAAAAGCAGGCCTAGAAGTCAGCAGACACGGGCGCTGCCTCTTGGTAAGGGCTGGGCACCTCCTGGGAGTGCGGCTCTCCCAGCCTCAGTTTACTCATCTGGAACACGGGGGTTTACTGGAAGACGGACTCCTGGGCAGGACCCTTAAACAGCACCCCTCCGGCCTGGCTCCTCCCCCCGGCCCCCCACTGCTCTCCTGGGCCCAGGAGAGGCCGCGGGCCCCGTGCCTCCCCCGAGGGCGCCGAGAAGGAAGGATCCGAGGGCTGCGCTGCCCGCGCCGGGCCTGGCGCCCACCTTGATCTCGCTGTCCAGCAGCCGTGTGCGCTGGATGATCTCCTCTGTGGACATCTTGAGCACCTCCTCTCCAATTCCATCTTGCTGTTAAAAATGACTTTTTATGTACGCATGTCCTCGTACTCACAACAGGCATCCCGCGTTCTCACTCACAGCCTGGTTCCCCATCCGTACACCCTGGAGGAAGGAGTCGGGACCCCTGCCCACATCCCACGCTCTCCCATCCCCCGGGACGGGGCCAGACCTGGATCCTCAGCCCCCTCTTCCCCGACCGCCCAGGGAGTCACGCAGCGGGGACCCAGCTCCGGGAGCCCCAGCGTCCCCGGTGCCCACCTCGGCCTCATCCCACACGGTCGCCATCTTCTCCTGCCGAGTCACTGGACTCTCGAGTGTCGGCGACAGATTCATTTCCTGAAGGAAAACACCGAAGAGGGGACTGGGCAGGAGTCGCGGCGGACACTGACGCCGTCTTCCTTCAGGTCTTCTTTGGACCAGTGGCGAACCTCTCGCCCCAAATACTGACTCCCGCCTGGACTAGCTCCGGCCGCACCGTCACAGCGAATCTGCGTCTCCGGCTCCAAAGACCAAACCCGGCCCACACGGCCAACCCCCGCGACTCCTGAAACGTTCCCGCCCTCATCCTATTTACGCCGGAAGGGAACGGTGAGGCCATTATTGGCCAGAGAGCAGGGCGGGGGCGGAGCCTGGTGGTGAAACCGGAAGGGGCGGGGAGCCGCGGGGGGCTTTGGGAAATGTAGTTTTAATCCGGCCCGGAGGGGCAAGGGCGTTTTCCAATAGCACGTTCAACGTCAAACTCTGGCCCCACTAGGAATTATTTGCGCAATGGCACTGCCTCCCAAACCATCAATAACACATTTAGCCGTGTGGCAAGGGGGGTGGGCAGTTATGACTGGGCGAGCGTTTGACCTAGCAGTTAGGACGCGGTTGGAACTCCCACATCCCGTGTAGTACCTGGTTTCGAGTCCAGACTCCACTCCTGATTCCAGCTTCCAGCTAGATCCTAGCAGGTAGTGGTGATGGCTCAAGTGGCTGGGTCCCTGCCACCCACGTGGGCTCCACGTGGGATCTGGATTAAATACCTAACTCCTGGCTTCAGCCCAGGCCGCCTGGAACAATGCTGTTGCAGGCATCTGGGAAGGGAACCAGCGAATGGGAGTTCTCTCTGGCTTGTCTCTCTGCCTCTCAAATAAATAAACGCTTTGAGAAAGGTCATGCCTCAGGCTGCATTTTTACAATTATTTTGTATTTAAATAGAGGCTGGACATTAAGGTTCTTTCCAAGTTTTTCTACTACAATAAGTATCTTTGCAGATAGTAAAAAATAAATAGAAAATAAAAAGTAATTAAATAATAAATAAATAAATAGAGGCTGGACGCTCAGGATGACCAGAGAGAATCATTAACCAGTTTTAAAGAGAAATCGCTGCTGCTGCTAACGTCAGAGCAGGCTCCTGGCATGGTCGACGTGGGAAATGTTGAGCTGACGACGAGGCTCTGCAATGAAAACCAGCACGGCTCGCGTCTGTCACTGTTTGTTTTCTGGCCGGGCCCGGGGTTAGCTCCCTCAGTGAGCGGGACAGAGCTTTTTGGAGCACATACGTCACGTTGGTTGTGCCTGGTCTGCTACTGTGGAGATTTTTGCCACGGGAGGTGAGCCCCAGAGCCCCCAGTCCCCCGAAATGAACTTCACGCGACTCATGTGGTTTCTATTTTGTCAAAGCCTCATAAACCGCTTGTAACTTGGTGAGAACCCGAGCAGTGTTCTTCTCGGAAAGCAGTTGAAGGCAGACATGCGCTTCTCCCACCTTTGCGGCTGCTTCAGACAAAGGCCGACAGACACCCCCACAGGTGGCTGAACGCTCTTCATCCTCTCCACCGCCCTGCCCCGTGGGCACCTGGCATGGTCAGGCTCCACCTCAGCCCAGCACACGGAGGCCCAGAGCAGGTAAGGGACTGGTGCAAGGTCGTTCAGTGAGTCACGGTCAATGCCAGGGCTGCCAACCCCAAATTCCCACTTTGCTCGCTGTCTGACTGAAGCGGCCCAGTGAGGGCAGAGCTGGCCCTGCAGGCTGGTCTCACCACACCTGGGCAGGCAGGGCACAGCGGGGGGCTGTACTTGGAGAGCCTGAAAATCACGAATCCCAAGCAGGCCCTGCTCCTGAGCGCCTGAGGGGCGGCGGCAGTCCCTCTGTGATCACACCTCGGGGAGGCTCCTCCAAGCCCTCTTTTTTTTTGTTGTTAAATATTTATTTATTTATTTATTTGAGAAGCAGAGTTACAGACAGAGAGAGGGACAGAGAGAGATAGCTTACATCCACTGGTTCACTCCCCAAATGGCCAGTACTGCCAGAGCTGAGCTAATCTGAAGCCAGGAGCCAGGAGCTTCTTCTGGGTCTCCCACGCAGGTGCAGGGGCCCGAGGACTTGGGCCATCTTCTGGTGCTTTCTCAGGCCATAGCAGAGAGCTGGATTGGAGCAGCTGGGACTAGAATCAGCGCCCGTGTGGGATGCTGGGATGCTGGTGCCACAGGCAACGGCTTAGCCCACTGCACCACAGCACCAGCCCCTCCAAGGCCCTTTTCCACCAGGCCTCGCGGCCTCATCCTTGAGCCCTGTTGTGGTCAGTCTGCCTGGTCCAATCCTATCAAAACCCTTGCCCAGTTTGATGCTTGGTCACCCTTGATATTTGCTATTTGATCAAGTTCCTCAACCCCCACCTTTGCTGTCTAAGTCCTTGACTTGTTTTTTAAATTTTTTTTAAAAGATTTATTTTATTTACTTGGAAGGCAGAGTTAGAGAGGGAGAGATACCAAGAGAGAGAGAGACAGAGAGAGAGAAAGAGAAAGAGAGAGAGGTCTTCTAGCCTCTGGTTCACTCCCTAAATGGCCACAACGGCCAGAGCTGGGCCAGACGGAAGGCAGCAGCTTCATCCGGATCTCCCACATGAGTGCAGGGGCCCAAGCACTTGGGCCATCCTCCACTGCTTTCCCAGGTGCATTGGCAGGGAGCTGGATCAGAAGTGGAGCGGCTGGGACACAACCAGTGCCCAAAAGGGATGCCAGGGTTGCAGGCGGCAGCTTTTTTTACATGCTGTGACACAGTGCCAGCCCAGATTTGCTTTTTTTTTTTTTTTAATTATTTATTTGAAAAGCAGAGTGCAATAGAGAGAGAGAGAGAGAGAGAGCAATCTTCTGCTCACTGGTTCACTTCCCAGGTGGCCAGAACAGCCAGGTCTGGGGCCAGGAGCATGAGACTCCGTACGGGTTTCCCACATGGAAGCTAGGGACCCAAGTACCTGGGCCGTTCTCTGCTGCCTCCCCAGGTGCATGACCAGGGAGCAGAAGACAAAGGGGAAGCGGAGTGGCTGGGACTCGAACCAGCCCTGCAATGTGGGATGTGGGTATCCGAGCGGTAACTGACCCCACTGCAGCGCAATGCCCAAATGGCACTCAGGGACCTTTCTGGGATGACTGTCAGGGCAACAGGAATTATGTTGGGAGCCCTGGAGTAGGGATGTGCTGGGGAAAGCAGAGCTGATGCAGGTTCGGGCTGCTCAAGGAGCTCGAGGTGGTACCAAGAGCTCAGCCAGCAGGGAGCTGAGAGTGTGGGCCAGGGCGGCTCCTCCGGCTTGGGGCTCTCATCCCTCTGGGCTTCTAGAAAGGAGATGAGGCCTGGGCCACGCCTACAGCAGGGAAGGCGCCTGGGAGCTGGGCTGCTGCGTGCCCGAGAGGCAGGAGGACTCCCGATGGACTGGGTAACTCCTGGGGGTGGTGCTGCGTGCAGAGGAGGTGCGCATCAAGGCGGTGACGGCTGTGGAAGGCACGTGGGCTGTGGAGAAGCAGGGGTCTCTGTCTCAGCACCAGGCTGGGGTGGGAGCCACCCCCTCACCTGTCCCGAGGAGCCACAGTCCTTCCTAAACCTCACCTCGGCATGGCCCCGCGCCCGCTCAACAAACACAACAGCGATCCTGAAGGCGTCCCGTGGCTTTCAGGAGAGACCCCCAGGGCCGGGGGCCTGGGGCTTGGCCCTGGCCACCGCCCAGCCCCATCCTGCGCACGCGCGGGCCTCTGTCCTTTGCTTGGTTCCTCGGACCCACGACCAACTCCTCTGCCCCAGGCCTTTGCTTCTGCTCTGCCCAGAACCCCAAGTCCCGACTGTAAACCAGTGAACCCCCTGTTGTTCTCAGTCCTACCCGCCACCTTCCCTGGCCCCCGGCTCCGGTGATTGCCCGCTGGGGGCCCTCCCAGGCCACACCCTGCCCATCGACCACTGGGTTCTCTGAGCACCCCTCCCCCACCCCCATACCCCCCCACGATAACTCCTGGGCGTGTGCACCGTTCCTTCACCACAAGTCCCCAGAGGCCTAGGAAAGTGCCTGCCCCCCACCCAGATTTCCAGCAAAGAATGAATGAAACCCTAACCACAAACAGCAGACTTTCTCTCCAGCGCCCTACCCAGGAGCACTCCCACAGGTCCCTGGTGGGGAAAGAAAGTAAAACATCAAAGGACTTCCCTTCAAGGTGATCAGATGTAAACCTGACATCCTCTTTTCAAAACCGTTTTTATTTATTTGAAAGAGAGACAGAGAAAGTACGCACTGCCCCCATCTGCTGGTTCACTCCCGAGTACCTCCGTGCTGGGCCTGAGCTCAATCCCAGCTCTCCCACGTGGCAGGGACCCAGTTCCTTGAGCTGTCACGGCTGCCTCCCAGGGTGAGTGCTGGCAGGAAGCTGGAGTGAGAAGCCAGAGGCAGGCATGGACCCAGGCCCTCAGTGTGGGCCACAGGCGTCCTAAAGCAAGTACCTCTCCCTGGAGTCACTTTGAACTTCTCTCTCCACCACCACATTCAATCTAGCTGGGGATCCAGGGGCTTCTACCTAAACAAACATCCAGAATTTTTGAAATGATAAGATCTGATCAAAATGATGTAATGGAGGGTGTGCAGCTTGGGAGGGAGGTGCCCTAATGAAACCAAGTTGGCCACATGTTGCATGGGGACAGCTGAGGCTAGGGTAGAGGTTCAGTGTGTTAGTGTCTCTACTTGTACATCTATTTAAAAATTCCCCAAACAGAACATGTGTCTCCTCCTACCCCATCTGAATAGGACCACGGCTCCCCACCATCATCTGTAACCTACATATTTTTAAAAGATGTATTTATTTATTTGAAAGAGTTACACAGAGAGAGAAGGAGAGGCAGAGAGAGAGAGAGGTCTTCCATCCCTTGGTTCACTCCCCAGTTGGCCGCAACAGCTACGACACAGTGCCGGCCCCATCAATTTAAAAAAGAAAATTTTTTTTAGTGGCCAGCACTGTGGTATAGTAGGTTAAGCTTCTGCCTGCAGCACTGGCATCCCATGTGGGCACTGGTTATTGTTATTTTATTTATTTGAAAGACAGAGTTACAGAGAGGTAGAGACAGAGAGAAAGGTCTTCCATCTGTTGGTTCACTCCCCAGATGGCCACAATGGCTGGAGTTGCGCCGATCTGAAGCCAGGAGCCAGGAGCTTTTTCTGAGTCTCCCACATGTATGCAGGGGTCCAAGGACTTGGGCCATCTTCTACTGCTTTCCCAGGCCACAGCAGAGAGCT